TTCAATCACCGTGCGCCACTTAGTATTTTCTCTGACTAAGTCAAGCTAACTTCGATGGCTTAGATGTATTAACGATTTAAGGAAACAATGGAAACGACAAGAAACACTTATAAGAAAAGAGCTTCTTTATACAACTTTACTTCTTACAAGAGAACTTCTTGGATGCCTTGGACAAATGAGCCCTTCTTCTATTTATAGGCATCCTACACCTCCTCAAAGGGAAGTTTCTAGATTTTGTATATTCCCGAGTATTCTAGATTGTTCTTACAAGATCCTTATCTATATACAAAGTTCTACACAATTCTATTCTATACTTTTGCATCCTAGAGAATTCTAGATCGTTCTAGGGACTTATGGTAGATTATTACTTGTTCTACCATCTTCTTGATCGGTCTGGAAGATTCTAGAACACCGAATCGTGACAGACTGCGAACACCGTTCGCGCCATCAACATCGACTGTTACCACTGTCTCATTCATCATCTCTTTACAGATGCCACCTCCCTCCGCTTGTACACTTCCCACTTTGGATTCAACCTCTATACTTCTCAATGCCATAAAACACCTCTCTTCAACGAAAAGCTTTGACATACCTACGAGAAGTATTTCATTAGAACCACTAGCCACAACAATCTTCTCTTGCTACTTCCGCCTTATCAAAACACCACCTACACCTTCTTCCGAAGAAAGGCTCTAAAATCCATAACTGAGACTTGAATCTCATCGGAGCTATCCTTCACCATTACACCCATCCATTATTTGCCATACCATCAGTTCACTGCTTGCCTCCATCCATTTGCAACCATACCGCTCCTTCTTAGGTCTAAAACCCAGATCTCGTTGGACCTATCGTTGGAGCTAGAGTTTCCAGATCTCGTTGTGGCCGGGTGAACACTATGATCCACCGAGAATAGGTGGTGACTATGGAGGGTTGTCTTGGTGGTCATGTTGTTTTCGGCTAGAATAGGTGGCGGCGATTGAGATTTTTCTAGTGCAGTTTTGAACCTTTGATGGAATAAGGTTGTGTAGGTGTTGGAATGAAGGCGGAAACCACTGAAGTTAGGGTTCAGGCGGTGGTGCTCCATCAGAAAATGGTACTCTAGTGGTGGTGTTAGGAGGATGTTGTCTAGTAGAGAGGTAGAGAGAGAGAGAGAGAGGGTGATATGCTTTTTTTAATTAAAGGAAAAAATAATTACAATAAATAGAAAAAACTGTTTTAAGGGTATATTTATCATTTCAGGTTGGGTATGGACCAAAACCACACAAAAATTCCAACCATAGGGACCAAAACCACAAAGGCCATTTTTGCAAATTTGTCTTAATTCAATAACTAGGTGTAAAACCCGTGTTTTACACGGGTTAAATAGAGTGTAACAACCCAATCCATTATTTGCCATACCATCTGTTCACTGCTTGCCTCCATCCATTTGCAACCATACCGCTCCTTCTTAGGTCTAAAACCTAGATCTCGTTGGACCTATCATCGGAGCTAGAGTTTCCAGATCTCGTTGTGGCCGGATGAACACTATGATCCACCGAGAATAGGTGGTGACCATGGAGGGTTGTCTCAGTGGTCATGTTGTTTTCGGCTAGAATATGTGGCGGCGATTGAGATTTTTCTAGTGCAGTTTTGAACCTTTGATGGAATAAGGTTGTGTAGGTGTTGGAATGGAGGCGGAAACCACTGAAGTTAGGGTTCAGGCGGTGGTGCTCCATCAGAAAATGGTACTCTAGTGGTGGTGTTGGGAGGATGTTGTCTAGTAGAGAGGTAGAGAGAGAGAGAGAGAGAGAGAGAGGGTGATATGCTTTTTTTTAATTAAAGGAAAAAATAATTAAAATAAATAGAAAAAACTGTTTTAAGAGTATATTTGTCATTTCAGGTTGGGTATGGACCAAAACCACACAAAGATTCCAACCATAGGGACCAAAACCACAAAGGCCATTTTTGCAAATTTGTCTTAATTCAATAACTATGTGTAAAACCCGTGTTTTACACGAGTTAAATAGAGTGTAACAACCCAAAAAATCAAAGGTAAAAAATTTCATTTTTAAATATAGCTAAAGCATTGATACCATTTATTTCAAACATTTCAAATCATCATTAAGTAAAATATTTATCAGATTTTATCCCAAAATCATTTATTGTGGAAATCATAGGTGTGTGTACTGCGATCAAGCCAATCCCTTCTTTTCTAAATCGATGATACCTGAAACCATAAATAAAACTGTAAGCACGAAACTTAGTGAGTTCCCCAAAGCATACCCCACACAATCCACATAAACACATAATTCATATCAGTTATAACAGCTACATAAACCATAACAATCACATAAGCATGCATATACACATATAAAGATGCCATGGAAACCCTCCAAGGTCTTATTCACATACTCTCGTGAATCATATCAACTACGCCAACCATGCATATAAACATATAAGCTAAACATGCAAACACATAAGGATGCCCTGGAAATCCTCCAGGGTCTTACATCGGGTGTCATGGGAACCCCCACATGGTCTTAGCCCAATGCCATGGGAACCCCTACATGGTCTTAACTGAGGATGTCATGGAATCCCTCCAAGGTCTTACACCCCCAATGCCTCGGGAACCCCCCCCGAGGTCTTTACCTAGGATGCCATGGAAACCCTCCAAGGTCTTACACCTAAGTGTCCCGGGAACCCCCCAAGGTCTTCCATGCAAGTATCACAAAGACAACTAGCATATCACATACCACATAGTCAACTAGCATACCACATAGTCACTAGCATACTCCCTATCACATAACCAACTAACATGCCACATAATACAACTTTAGCTAGTGTTTCACATATCATAAGATGGGTTGGCATTGGTACCTTCGACCCATTGGTATGGTGAGGAAACTCACCTGGCACTATTGGGATCCCGCGGTTGCAACTCCAACTATTGGTTGATAGGTTCCCGAATTGCCAACATCAAACAATACCCAATTAATAATTGGGTTCAACCACAAATTCATACTTGGGGTAAAAGAGTATTTTACCCTAACTTAGCTTTACTCAGTCCAAGGCCCAATCCCAAGGCCCAAAAGTCAAATCATGGACCAAAGCCCAACATATTCAAATTCCGAGCCCACACAAGCGTTGCACGATCCAGATCCATCCGCATAAATTCTGAGCTCCAAATTACCCCCACATGGGGTTCCATCTGATTAGTACACGTGACCAACCTGCACCCTCGCAACTCCTTGCGCGGATAAGACCAATCTCCTAATCTCTCATGTGCGACCCATTAGCCCTATCGCCTCACCCATATTTAAATTTGACCTACCCGATTAACCGCCCCAGATCCGCTTCCACTTACCATTTTCGACCCAACCTTATAAATCCTTAACCCGATACAAACCCCTCCCCTTGTCACCCCCGTCTACAGCGACCAAAGCACCCACCCTTATTCCTCCAGCCGACGAACGCAATGACTCCCCTGCTGCCGCCAAAGTCCAGTCACCCTGTCATCACCACCGGTTGGCGTTGTCTACTTGTTGCCGACTTCCTTCTTCTACGGCCGACATAGCACCTTCTTCTTGCCGCTACCTCCTCCACCTCGCTGGAAAACAAGAAACAACACCATACCGCCGCCACCTTCCATCAATTTACAATTTTTCTTGGGTAATTCATCACCAAATCCTTCCAACCACACCGATCTACTATCCATTTGGGCAGATTTTATTCGTCGGAACCCTAGCTCCACCGCTGGACACCGCCTATCGCCGCCACTAATTTTGACCAAAAATTTCAAATTTTTTTTTTCTCACCGGAGATTCAAAAGACTTAATATTACGGGTCCAATTCAGGCTTGGGGTGCGGTTTTTGCGGATTTGTTTTCGGGTTTCTACACTCGAATTTGGTACATTCCTTTTAATTTTATTGCATTCAATTTATAATTGGACTATCCTTCTATTATGCATTAGGTTAATTAGAATTGATTTGCTTTGATTTGCTTAGATTACATTGTAATGAATTGTGCCAAATTGCAAGTTTGGAGTATTTTCCCGGTTTTTATTTTTATTTTTGTTGGATTGATTGGATTGGTGTGAGGCGGGTGTGAGGGATAATTTTGCCCAAGTTTTTGTCTTTGCTAGGATCTCTTTACAGGTACAATGGGAAAGATCAAAACCATTCATGCATCTTATGGTTCTTCCCGTGAAGATCAATCATCGCAATCAACCAAAAAAATGTCAACCGACCATGTCGATCGTAATGACAACCTTACCCTCATTAGTGCACAAATCAAGCAATTCAAGTCCAACCTCCAAAAACGTGTGATATGAGCCACAAAATTTTACCACCAGGAGTCGATGATCAACCTTGGCCTTGAAAATTGCTTGCAACAACTGTTCTTCGACATACATTGGTAAGATTTCCTAGATCTCTCCGTGCGCATATACACACAACCCACACTTGAGTTGCTCTCCACTTATGCACACAATGACACAAACGAGGTGCTCACATTTCGACTCCAAGGTCAGCAGCACCGAATCACATACGACACCCTCAACACTATAATGGGCACATACGATATGCACAACACCGACATCTATAGTTATCAATGGACTCAATTTAAGAGTAAGCCCAAAGTAGAGTTTTGGACTCAGATAGCCAGTCTTCCAAACTTCAATCCAAGTCAACAAAAAGATCCTTACATCATCCATCATTGTTGGAGAATCGCTCATCGGATCCTTTCAACTTCAATCTTTCGTCGTCACGAGCCAGGACAAATAAACACAGTCGAGCTATATCTCCTCTATTCCTTGACTAGCAACCGTTGGTCATTCCCCGATTTCGCCACCTTTTTCTTGGATAAATGAGACAACATACGCACGAAGACCACATGCGACATTTGCATTGGAGGTCTCATTACACTCATTGGTTTGGGTGTCGGTATTCAATTTCCCGAGTCCGAGTATGTGCCAGTAGATGACCAACCTCTCCATCTCCTCGATTACTTCGCTCTCACCCGAATGGAATTATTGGTACCCATCAACAATCGTCTGTACTCTTGGCTCAGTCATGCCAAGGAATTTGTTTACACCTTACCTAATATAAGTATATCCACCTTTACCACCAGCGACCCCAAAACTTGGTTCTTGCCCGTAGAGTTATATGATGATGATGTAGGAGTTGATGATGACATGTTGGTAGACACTGGACATGCTGGTAGCCCATTTGAGGCCAAAGACCATTATGACCTCCCAATCCGACAATTTCCTCCACCCTCTTATACTCAACCTTCGGGAGCACACTTCAAGACACAACATGAGTACCGGTCCTATCAACAACACAATGAGCCCGAACCCGAGTATCCTCTTGATATATACGCTCAGCTTGTCGCCATGCGCCTCAAGGGTAACCGAAACACAGCAGCCATTCGGCGTATCGAGGATCAACAAGCTCGCACCAACAACTACATTGAGGATCTTTGGTATCATTTTCAGCCCGAAGGTGGTTACCGTCCTCGCGGGCCTCCTCAACCTTGATCCTGGTATGATCATTCCTTACTCTCATCCCAAGCATTGAGGACAATGCTTGATTTTAAGCTTGGGGTAAGGTATTCTTATATTTTAATTTTCATTGCATTTAGGTTGTATATAGTTGCATTTAGAGTAAGTCATTTAGGTTATTCATAAAAAATTACATAAAATTTTCGAAAATATTGCATATTTTATTTCTTACTTTTCTAATTTTCATACTTTTTAGATGCATTCTAGTTTAAGTTCATGCATTTTTGTTCTCTGTTGTATTCTCATCCCTACAGGTACCATAGCACCGAGTCATAAGTTGTTACAGTCGCGTTTCTAGTCTAGACATTAATGACAATGTAATAGTCTAGGTTAATCGTTGTAACCCATTTTGAAATAATAAGAATATATTATTTGAGTATTATGTGTTATATGCTTAATTGTGTGACTTAAATGAGTTAAGGATAAAAATAAGCAATAAAATAAGTTGTTAGATAAACCCGATATCTATGAAGGAAGCTGTAGTGGTCGTGACAAGAATTACGAATATATATAGAATGCCGAAATCTGAGTTATAATGAAGAAGTTATGACATGTTGGAGTTTCGCGACAGAACCGGTACGACACTACGTGACGAAAATAGTGAATTTACGATAGAGCGATATTTAGCCTTAGCGATCTAAACAAAAGTCGTAGAATACGATAAACCGAGAGCATACATAAAAAGAACATCTAAATCTGACTTCGTATGAGGAAGTTATGATTTTTCTAAGTTTCAGCTTAGCAGTATGCAACCCAAAGTTCGAATATGAGATCCAGTGATTTCTAGCAGAAACAATCTCAATGAGAATCGAAGATCTCGTTGATAGTAGTGCAACAACAGAGAGACAGACAAAAACGGACGTCAGATGAAGAAGTTATGAATTTCTAACGGAGTTTTTCCTGTCCCGACCTACTAAAAATAATATAATAAAGATTAAGCCAAAATTAGTTGACAGAGTCTAAATGAAAGTTGTAGAGCATGATCTCACCTACGCGTGCATATAAAAAACGTCGAAAACGGAGCTCGCATGCGAAAGATATGAATTTATGAAGTTCTGGGCACGAACTTTAACCCTTGTGTCAGAGTTCACGACATGAACAGTGGGTGTTCACAGCGTGAAAAGGTCATGGATGCCTTCCAGAGCAAGAGGAATGATGACGAACACAATGACCTATGCCTGACCAAACTCACGACGTGAATTTTTGAGATTCACGACGTAAATCCAGAAAATCAGCCCTATAAATTGAAACCGAAGGGCAGCCGGCCATGGTTGTTATTTCGCTATCTCTCTCACTTGTGACATCCCTATTTTTCACGGCTAGAAAAGACCGATTTTGTTTATGCTTGTTTAAAAATCAGATTAACATTTTACATAAAAGTGTTGCGTAGCTCACCTATAGCGGGTTTTAAAGAAAACCGTGATTTGCTTGGAGCAGCGTTTCGAAACCGAAAGACCCTTTTTCTCGGGACTCTGGGAGCCTCGGGGCTTCCTTTGGGTGCTAGGGATTTTTCCTAGGGTTTAGGGGGCTTAAGATATGCTAGAGAGAGAAAGAAACTGGAGAGAAGTGATTTTGGTGCAAGAAATGAGGCTGCCACGGCCTCCTTTTATAGCTGCGAGGCCTCGGACGTACGTTGGGCGTAGTCCTTGGCTATGCTGGGCGTAAGGCTCGGATAAGAACAACAGGTGGCGCTCCTCGGATGGGTCATCGTGGCATGCTCCGAAACCGCTCAACCGAAGATCGTTGGGCGTAACCCTCTTCCGACGCGGGGCGTTCCTATCGTACATGAGGCGTAGCGAGGCCAGGTGTCCGAATCCGAAGACCAGATCGTGATCAGCAAGCGACGGCCCTGATCGAGCCACATCATCATCCCCCTCGCAGTTTCGCATTTTTCTTTCCCAACTTCTGAAATTCATAACTTTCGTATACGAGCTCCGTTTTCGAAGTTTCTTTATATCCACGTCATCGTCGGCTAATTTTGACTTTATTTTAAAAGTTATATTATTAACAGGCCGGGACAACATTGGTCCGTTAAAAATTCATAACTTCTTCATACGGCGTCCATTTTTTCCATCTTTTTATCGTTACGCTACTCTTAACGAGATCTTCGATTCTCATTTAGGTTGTTTCGGATAAAAACCGTTCGATCTAATATTCAAACTTCGGGCTGTACACTGCTAAGCCGAAACTTTGAAAAATCATAACTTCCTCATACGAAGTCAGATTTGGACGTTCTTTTTATGTATTTTCTCAGTTTAACATACTCTACAACTTTGGTTTAGATTACTAAGGCTAAAAAGTTTTCTATCAAAAATTCACTTTTTACGCTGCCGATTCCGTCGCGAAACTTCGACGGGTCATAACTTCTTTGTTATAACTCGGATTTCAGCGTTCTTTATATCCTCAGAATCCTTGTTTCGACCACTACAACTTTATGTAAAGATATCGGACTTATACCACACTTTAATTTTGACGCTTATTTTTATTCTTTATTTGTTATATCTTTATAATTAAGTAATAAGCACATAAATACACATAATTCACATAGAATTCAAATATTTCATCTTTATTACTTCAAAAAGAGTTACAATAGTTGACCTAGACTATTACATCGCCCAAAAATGCTTAGCCCTGAAACCCAGGCGTTACATCACTCCCTAAACCCTCTCTAGTCATCTTGAAGCACCCCTGAAGCCCCGATATCATCCCAACACTCGAAGTAAGTCCCGAAGCTCCGAAGATCCCGAGAAGAAAAGAGTTTCAAGCCGAAGCTCTGCGCGCAAGAAGTCCCGTGTGCGAAGATATCCGAGTTTCACCGAAGAATACTATTTTAAGAGCCGTAGTGTTGTCCGACAACCTTCCTATCAAGTGAGTGCATAGTATCTTTCATAAACATGATTTTAATACTAGTATTGTTTGAATGTATTAAGTATATGTTTTGAGTGAGTGTATATTCCCTTTCTTCTAGCACATAGATATGAAGTATCTCCTATAGAATACATGCTATGTGTATATATTTATATGTCTTATCTGTTATGTGGAATGAGTATGGAATGAATATCTTATCGAGTTTTAAGCTGTATATGAATATATATATATATATATATATATATATATATATATATATATATATATATATATATATATATATATATGTATGTATGTATGTATGTATACAAAATGTTAGGTAAAACATGGGTAGATAGTTGATGTGTGATAAAATGATGAGAGGTCTCAATGCTGTTGTTGAAGTAGTCATCTAGCGGATTATGGATGATGACCACAGACTCTTTCTAGACAGTCCAGTGGAATGCTGGCAGGTTCATAACCTGTAGGTGTTGTAAACGATGTGTTCATCGGTGTACTCTATCCCCCACATGGTTGTCTTTATGACATCTATTGTTGATGAAACCCATTTGCAGTAATGTCCATCCCGATGAAAATCCTTAGACTAGGTCCCTTGTGATAGTTGTTGTTTTAGGGACGTAAAGTGAGGATAAAGGGAACGGGTAACCAGATTATTGTTGGTTGGTGAAATTAAATATAATTATTTATTGTCGATTGAAAACCCTATATGCTCACCAGGCTCTAAAGCCTAACCCACTTAGTTCATTTGTATTACAGGTAGTGGCGCGAGAGCATAAGCTGGATGAATCATCAAGTTATTTTGTTTATAAGCCTGTAGTTGTAAGTAAACATTGTGAGGCTTATAATGTGCCGTTTATGATTTTGTTCTGTATTGGAACATGACATCCCGAGTTTTGGTATATATGAAAAGACATTTCTTTAAGAAATGCTTTGATAAACTTTATTTTATCATATTGTGTGTTGGGAACAAATTCTGCAACTCTTTTTAATCAAAGGATTACTCTAAAATTATTTTAAAAGCATAAATTATATTGGTCTTTTTTGGCCGTGAATTCGGGGATGTCACATAAGTATTGAATCATAGATTGGTCCTCGGTCTTGATATTGAATTCCTTGTATTGGATAAATGGGACACGTTTTGAGCCTCATAGACCACTTTGAGACCACTTGTATGGGGGTCAGATGCAGGTAGCTTGATTGGGTCTAGGTGCGGAGGGATGTGGTTGGTCAAACCGATGTGTGTGAGCAAAGATTAGTCCGGTAAGGTATTTTGAAGACATTGAAGACTTGCATATTGGTTTTGGAGGTAATACCCCGTAGTACTCCCGAGTCTCGTCCGAGCCTTACTTACTTAGATTCTCACCTCCTTTTTAAGTGGGTCATCATTTTTCTAGGGGTCTAGAGTAGATAGTTAGATAGATTTTGTTTATCATACCTTGCATTGAGGTGCTTGATGAACTTTGAAGTGGGTCACCTAATTCAAAATTTGGGACCAAGTTTTTTTTGGTTACACCCATTTTTGAGTCATACCCCACCTTTTTAGTAGATCTTGACACATTGTCAATGATCATTAGGTATTCATGTTAGCCTCTATCTATTACTCCATTTTCACTATTGGAGTCTTATGTTACATGGTGAAATTCCTTAGACCTTCCAAGAAGAAAACATAAAAAAATGAAGAAATTGGAAAAGTGAAGACAAAAAGAAACAATGAAGAAGATTTAACAAAAGCAACAAAAACAAAGAAGAAAAAGAGCAAACACAAAAAGAAGAACAAGAATCCAAGTTCAAGACTTCTCTCTAAAAAAATGCTCCAAGCCCAAAATAATAATCCATAACCCATCTTCACAAGCTCACTTCATCCAAGGCATTAGCTTTTTAAGCCCAAATTTCCTTTGGTGGATCCGTAAAGCCCAATAATGCATCGAGAAGTCCACCAAGCCCAACTCCATTCAAACCGCAACCGCAATGAGCTCCAAAACCCTAACAGGAAGAAAAGAAGAAGAAGAAGAAGAAGAACAAGAAGAAGAAGAAGAAGAAATGGTGACAGCTCCTCTATGGTTCGCTTCTCTGGCAGGGAGAGTCGCGGCGTCCGACGATGGACCCGT